GCAAAATGAGTGGTGATAGAGGCGTGTGGGCGATGTGCAAACGCCCACGATTATTTAAGCCATTGTATCCGGTTCATGTGCGAGGTGTGAGAAGAAATACAAGAGAAGGCACAAGTGTGTGTGCTGCAAAATTTTCCTATGTGTATGTGTTCTTTCTTTTCATTGTGTACAAGATGAGAAGAGTAGGTGTGTCCACTGCGTACACGCGTGTGTATCCGTCGATGCGTGGCTGCTCCAACAGTCCTCGGCTCGGTGGCCACGGCCATGGACGTGCTGCCGGAGGACGTGGTCGGGCGGGGCGTCCGTCGGGGCCAGAGAGCTCGCAAGGCTCGTGTCCTAGCAGGCGTGGCGCGCGCCGGTGTGGCCGGACGTGGACGACGGGGGCGCGACCCGGAGCGTGCGCTCCATAGAACGACCGACACGGCGTCTCCACGGCACGCCCCGCGGCCTCACTGGGCTCCTGTTGGCCATAACCATCCCACTCTGACCCCGTGCTTTCTGCTTTGTAGCAAAGCGGCCGGCGGCGTGCGTCTCGCCGTGGCATTCCTTATTGCCAGGCTCTCAAGGGGCACGTCCGAGCGTTGATGTATAAAAAAACTAGCACTAAAAAGGGCACGTGCGTGGCAAAGAAAGAAAGAAAATCATAATCTTTAACGGCGGTGACCACATTTTACTGCATCGCCGAGATATATTATCACTCTCAATTTTATGAAATCATGGATAATTTTTGAAATCATGAACGTTTTTTAAGCTCGTGCACATATTTGAAATCGTGATTTTTTTTAATTCCTGAACACTTTTACAATCTTTCAAACTTTTCTTGAATTCATGAACATTTATATTATTTGCAAATATTTATTAAAAATTTGTGAACAATCTTTTAAACAGATTTCTTGAATCGTCGAACATTTCAATAATCGACAAAAAAAATTGGAAATTGGTGGAATAATTTATTGAATTCACGAACATTTGCTCTGATTTAACGAACATTTTTTTATTTAATGAACATCTTTCGAAATGCATGAACATTTTCTGAATCAGCAAACATTTTAAGAATGAATAAACTATTTTGTAAGTGACTAACAGTTTTTGATTTTTTTAGGATATCTTTTCATTCATGAACTTTTTTGAATTGGCGAAAAAAAAAATTCATCAACATTTTATAATACACAAACTTCTTTGAAAATCATGAACATTTTTTTATTTTCCGAACATTTATTTTCGAAATTTCAAACATCTTATGAATAAGAAAAAAATATAAATCACGAATATTTTTTCAATCCACAAATATTTTATTATTTATGAAAATAATATTTCAAAATTCTCATTTGTTTTATTTTTTGGAAGTTCTTTGAGTTTCCACATTATTTAAAGTACAAAAAACAAAAACAGAAAATAAAATAAAAATAAAAAACGAAATTTAAAAAACAGGCCGCCCGGACATGCGCCAGCCCAACTGGGCAGGTTGCGTCTTCTCTCAGCCCGCAGAGCGCAGTATAAGAGGTCCCTATATCATGGGCCGACCCAGGCTGGGGTTTACCATGTGTGAAACGTTTTTTTATCACTTATAGATGGCATTGGTGGGTAATATTTTGCAACTTTGGGGGCAATTTTCGTGACGTACAGCCCAATAGGTATTGATATTGATGCATAGCTCATCTTTCCCATTAGCTTGAACATTAGCTGGTGCGTGCAGTTCTACATGGTATCGAAACCGAGAGGTCTTGAGTTCAGGACCCGATTGGCGAAATTTTCACATTTTCCCATTAGCTTGAGCTCTTGGATAAACTGACCGGTGCATGCAGTTCTACACCGAGGAACAAAAGAAGGTAACGTATGAGGCCCTGAAGCTGGCGAAGCGCAACGTGTACCACCGTGCGTGCCTTGTGGAGGCCCAACGCCGTGTCGTGCCTCCTCCACCTCCTCTCCTCGACGGACGCGTCCAGAACAACGCTATTGCCAGTCTCCTCAACCTCTCGAAACACATAATCGGGTGGAGCACGCTCGTGGAGGTGGGCAGGCTCGGGCTCATAGTTGATGCCGTCAATGTCGCGGCCAAGGTCAAGGCATGGCAGAAAGCGGTGGCCATCCTATTCTACCTCTCGCTGAATAGTGAGTACTAGGACCAACCGCATCTTGGAGGCCATCCGAAAGTTGGTGCACCTCATGAGGAAGGGCGCCTACCGCGGCCGCAAGAACGCACTAGTGAGCCTTCACGGGGTGCTCCACAACGCGAACAACATTGGGAAGGCGGTGTCCGCCAGTGTCGTGAGTGTGCTCGCCAACCTCCTCTCCGACGACCATCAGGACTTTGTGAACGGCTCCATCGCTCTACTCGCGAGGATTGCCGAGCAGCCGGCCAGCACAACGGCCAACCTTGCCCGCTCGGAGCTCGTCACGAGCCTCGTCAACTTCCTCGGCGCGTCGGCGTCTCGATCGGGGAAGGACCACTGCATGGCGCTGATGGCCTCGATGTGCCGGCACAGAGAGCGTCCTGTGATCGGCTGCCACCTCTACGACTATTGGCTCTCGTATACCGTCTCCATGATATGTTGACCCAACCGATAAATGGGCTCACATGCCGGTGAGTGGGTAGAGAAACCCGGGTGCCCCATCGCTTGCTTTTTTACAGCTCACCACCCTGTCGCATCCTTTGCTCGTACGAATCCACCCCATGTACTCTGCACTGGAGCAACAAGGCGCGCAGGAGAGTCGCCGGAGGCGGAAACGGAGAGAGCAAAATAAAATTGCTAGTTTATACTAAATTTTTATATTTATTTATTTTTATTTTTATCTTACTATTGTATTAAAGAGTATAAATTTAATTTTAGTTGGTATAGTTAATCACATAATTTAGTAGGGATTGTTAACCGGTGTTCATTGTAGTGAGTTGTAATCTATATGAGCAGTCACTTTGTTTATGCTAAATTTGAATTAAGTGATGTGGCATAAGTTATCTTTGAATTTATTTTGTGACAATTGAAAACAAAGTACATAGTGCGCAACTACATATTTGTCTATATATGCATATGTTTATGTATACTTTATTTTCATTAAATATCATGTGAGAGGTTTCTAAAGAATAATGTCCAGCTAATATTTTAATAGTGATTTCTTGTGTATTATTAGGTTTGCATACTTATAGAACCCTGTAGAGTATAATTTGTTCCATTTGCAAATGTGTTCCAAATTAGATACCGCAATAAATTCAACATATGCATGGTACTGAAAATAGTCACTGACAAATGAAGCATATCGGCAATTCAGCTTTGCTTACAAAATTTATTTATTTGGTATGCTCATCTAGACACTTGGTTCCATGTGGTGTATACAAGAGATTTACAAGGGTGGTGTAAATTAGATGGAGTAGGTACCTATTTGTAAAATGCTTTCGGTGACGGCAAGAAAAGAGAATTTTAGACGGATTTGCCTCGCCATGGATAAAATGATAGTTCACTCATTCTCCCGGGGCCTTCAAGCACATTGGGTGGAGTAGAAGCCATTACATGCAATTGTAATCAGTTTAGTAGGTTATAGACATAATGCATGTATAACATGATCCAAACATATACTATCTTTGTCATGAATATTTGATTGACAATTGCACATGCATGTACTTGTGTTCATGTGCCATCGCTGCTTTGAGAGATGCTACTAGTGAACCTAATAACCCCGGTCCAATTTCCTCCGTGAGAAACTCTTCAACCTACTTTTACATCTACTTCATTTTCTGCAATTTATTATTTCAAAAGTAAAAAAATTCTGAGCACATTAACCTCACAAGAACCGTTCGGTGCACAAGTGGGCTCTTAATTTGTTCTGAGGTGCTGCTTGACTAAGGCTAGGGGTGTTGGCTCGACAGATTGATATCTTTGTCTCTCAACCGAGAGGTCGCTTGATGCATACCATTTCACTTGGAAGCCCAACAACTACTGCCAAGCGTGAATCCTTGGAGTAGAACCAGCTTGCTCTCCCTCCAAACCAGGGTGGGTAAAGCTCACTACCGATGCGGGCAATCATCTCTACATCTTGCCAGCAACTCCTTACTTGTCATGATGCCTTCAAAGTTGAGCGTCGAGTCTGATTACTTGGCGACAGTGAATCTTTCCCTAAGAAACAACACGGATTGATTTTCCTACGCATATGAAATTTAAATGTTATGGAGAGGAGGCCATGACACTTGTATTACTCATATATGACATGTGCAAATTTGCTAGTCATTTAGCGGCATAGTTGCCCTAATAGAAGCCCAGACAAACGTTTGTATTGGGTTAGGTACGTGTGATGTGGTGTAAATTAGATGAAGTACTCCCTCCGTCCGCAAATACTTATCATCAAAATGGATATCCATTTTTTATGACAAGTATTTCCGAAGTATTTCCGGACGGAGGGAGTATTGTATTACCTACTGTGCCTCATGTGAAGCTAAACAGTAAAGAAACCAGGCAACCAAAACTGGGCAATTGCAAATGTTGATAAGATGGATGCAAACTCTTGGCAAAAGGAGAAGTAGCATCAGCACAGGTGAACAAACTGCAGCGACCAGTCCCTGGTTAGTTTGCAGTGTGACTGTCGCTGTTCCTTCACTACTACTGCAAAGCTGCCCTTGTTGAGGTGCAGCAACAATTCATACTGACATCCAGAGAAACCAAGAGAAAAATAGCAAACCCACTGAACAGAGAGAAACATCTGGTATAAGCATTGGGGCTTCAGGATCAACTATCAGTGTGAAACCCAGAGATGTGTTACCTAACGAATTCATGAACAAATAAATAAAAGTTTCGTCCTCAGATAAAAGAGCCTACGAGTATCTACATATGGATAAAAGTTAACACAGCAACACGCGCTGCTTACATTCCCCATCTCAACCATCCGAAAAATCCACAACAGACCAAGCATTCACCGATATGAAATTCAGACTACCTCAACAACAACATTCAACAATGAACTGTAATCCTATAAAATTTAGCAAGTGTTGCCATCAACCAAGGTCGCCTAACCTATACAGAGTCGCGCTGGTGGCCAAGCTTACGGATGCACACCTCCACGTTGCCATCCTCGGTGCCCGGCAGGTCCTTGGGAACCAGCAGAAAGACCTTCTCCTTCTCCCCCAGCCCGTGACGCAGCGACGTGTTCCGTGCTGTAGACTGCATCTGCAGCCAGGGCCGTCTGTCGCCGTTGCCTACCGGCGTCTTCAGCTCATACACAAACTCCTGCTCACGGGCGTTCTCAGGGCGGATGCAGATCATGGACAGAGCGATGCCACGGCCCTCGCTGAAGCAGTCGAGGAAGAAGAGCTCGCCGTCGTCGCGGCTCTGAAAGATGGTCGACGTGAGGGCAGAGGCCCGGAAGTTCTCGTCATAGTGGAACCTGATCGTGTCCCAGTGGTGGCGGAGGGTGAGGTGGGTCGTGAGTGCGACAGCCCGGCTGGCGAAGCCGCATTGGGGGACAGGGCAGAAGATAGGCTCGTGGCGGCAGGTCTGCTCATGCTCGCGCATCTCGTGGTGCGGAAGGAAGGCCTCACAGGCATGCACTTTGTTGCGGCAGGAGAAGCGGATGCGGCCTAGGAACTCCTCGACGACGCGGTTGCGCCCATAGCCATTGCCGCTGCCGCAGCAGCTGCACCGGTTGTCGCCGACTTCCTCGTGGCACCTCGAGCAGGTGACGTGGGCGAAGGGGCACTGCACGCACGCCATGTATCAAGAACACAGCTGAGTTGATTCTGACCGTAATGATAAATAAAACCGTGCTACAACTGCAATCGAAACTCACCTGGTAGACCGGCGGCGAGAGCATGCGGCGGCAGGCCTTGCAGGTGAAGAGGCGGTCGTAGTCGTCGATCCGGACGCTGAACTCGCCGGTGCGCCCATTCTCGCCCAGCTCCTTGTTCGCGTGCGGCCGCCAGGCAGGCCTCCGCCCGTGCCGGTCGAGGTCGTCCGACCCGCGGCTGCGGCTCAGATCGTCGGCATCGTCGTCGTCGCTGGGCGGCCTCTGCGACCACGAGCGGCAGGGCGACGGCGAGTGCGAGAGCGACCGGTACGTCGACGGGGACGGCAGCGGCGAGGGCGACCGGTAGGGCGACGGCGACGGGGAGTAGACCGACGGCGACCCGCGGCGGCGCCTGGGGCTGCCCTCCGCCTCGCTCGGCGACGTGCGGAGGCGCTTCCCTCCGCCGCTCCCGCTGTAGCTCATCTCCGGCGTCCCCGCGGGCTGCGCGCCGGGGCACGTCCCTGCAGGCCGCGACGGCGCCGGAGGACGACGGTACAGAAAGAAATCAATCAACTCAACACCCTGCAAATCGCGCTACCGAATTGCGACGGAGTATTCGAGGGCTGGGGATTGGGCGGGGCTGTCTTACCTGAGCTGGAGGACGGCGGATCTGGCGGCGGCAGGGGGCCCGGCTCTCGCCCGCCCGTCGCCGAGGGCGGGCGCGGCTCGGGGAGAGGAGGGGCGGCGGCGGCGGCGGCGGCCGTGGGGGCGGGCGGCGCGAGCGAAACCCTCGCCGGCGGCGCGGAGTCGGGGGACGAGAGGAGAGGGGATCGGAACGGGCGAGCGGTGGGGGTTTCTGCCCTGCTCTTTATTTTTCTTTCTGCTGCCTAGTCGGTGCCGGAGGCGGCCCAGTCCGAGACTCCGAGTACAACACTTCCTGCCTGGGCTAAACGGGCCAGAACAATGCCCCCCTTTCCCGCTCTTTCCTTTTTAACAATTGTTGTGCTAGAGGGGATCCCTAAAAAAAAAATTCAAATTCTTGTGTCAGAGTAGACCCATAAGTAGTCGAAAATGCTAACCGGCGACCGTCAGCCAGGGGGGATTTCGCGGCGAACGCCCTCCCTGCCGTCGCACGATTCTTGGAGCAGAACCGACGCCGCATAGGATCGCTGGGATAGTTTGTTGCGCGGCTGCTTTCTGGCGAACGGGTGTGTGTGTTTTCTTCCAAAAAATCACGAGGCGAGGTATGGGGTCGAACTCACGACCTCCAGTGCGCGAGGCCCTTTTATATATGGTTTTAACTGCCACATATGTTTTCAGTCCCGAAAATCCCATTGTAGTTTTGTTTTTTGCAGCATGGCATTTTTTTAAGAGGATGGCATTTTTTTCTTTTAATGGCATGCCAGTTTTTATTACTAAGTGCATGGTATTTTTTATTAAAAATGTTATGGTTTTTCATTAACAATATTATAGCATTTTTTATTATAAGAGATGACATTTTGTATAAAGAGAATGGATTTTTTTAGAGATGACATGTTTATTTATTTAAGTGATGATTTTTTTTAATTTAAGAGATGGCATTTTTAATTTTAAGAGATGGCATTTTATGTTAAGAAACACATTTTTATTACTAAGAGATGGAGTTTTTAATTTTTAAGAGATGGAATTTTTCATATTTAAGAGCATTTTTATTATTTAAGAGGTGGCAGGGGGCTCGGCTCTCACCCGCCCGCCCGTCGTTGAGAGTGCGCGCAGATTGCGGAGAGAAGGAGTGGTGGTGGACGTGGGGCGAGCGGGCGTGAGCCAAACCCTTGCCGGCAGCGCGGAGTCGGGGGACGAGAGGATAGGGGATAGACGACGAAGCGATGGGGTTTCTGCCCTGCTTTTTATTTATTTATTTATTTATTTATTTATTTATTTATTTGTTGCCTAGTCGGTGCCGGAGGCGGCCCAGTATGAGTAGAACACTTTGCGGGTGGCCCATTTAGCCCGGACTACTCGAACAAATACTAGGCCCTTCTTTTTTTTGTCTACAAAAAGGCCCTTCTTTTTTAATCTAATAAAGCTCGAATGATACGTGCACATGGCAAATTGAATGTTTCCAATAGCAAATTTAGTGAAGCGAAGATGACAATTATAGTTGGCAAGCATGATAACTTCGTGCTTTGTTTATTTTTTGACAAAAAATTGTCGTGTGCATTGTCATCTTTGCATCATTAGAATTGCCATGAAAATGTTTGATTTGCCATGTGCACGTACCTAACGTTAGATCTTATCATTTTTGCTTTATTCGGCTCTTGTTTTTTTATTATATATGAACGGAATACAATTGTTGTTTCGCAGTTTAATAATAGTTCCATATTAAGTTGCAAATATGCATTATTTGTATGATGATGACTAAGGGGTGTACAGACTCTAAAATATTAGAGTCCTCAAATGTCATTTTATTTACGAAATTACTCGGTATTCTTTGGATAAAATTATCAATGCTCCGACTCATGGACTCAGAGTAACATGTATAGAAGTTAAAGGAATTAACTAGTACCTGGTTTCTTAACAACGCAAAGCATCACAACAATCATATGACCGAAACCAAATAGAAAGGGCAATGCATTTGCTAGAATGGTGTAGAGAAAATCTCCATAGGAAAACTTCACTTGCGAAATAAGTTTAATGTAGGTGTTCTTGTTCTGTACTCAAATTATATCATCCACTGCCTTGTCATATATCATTGTGTTTTGGTGTTTTGTCTTAATCCCATTGTGTTTTGATTTGTTGGCATTTATAGGAAAATCACTTTGCATCCTCCCTCGCTTCTTCGACAAAATGGCCGTGTGCCCAACCCAATCATGTGACTCAATGTTCTCTTAAAAAAATTAAAAGTGGCCGTCGATTGAGGCTCCTTATCTTATTTGATGGCACATGTTTTAGTTTCTACAATTAATTGTATTTTTCTCCCAAAATTAATTATGACAATTTACATCATGTGTGTATCACGGAGGTGGTTGAACAAGCATAGACCCCGCGCGGCGCTATTAGGTAGGCTAGTCCTTCCGGTTTTAGAAGGTTCTCTTTTCTTTTTTTCTAACGGTTTTTATGTTTTTTCTTGTTCAATTTTCAGTTTTTTAATTTTAGGCATGAACAGTTTTTAAAATTCGAATTTTTTAAAAGTTGAAAATTTTCTAAACTCGTGAAGATTTTTCATATTCATGACCATTTTCAAACAATTGCGCATAATTATTAACTTGTGAAAAATTTTGATTCATGAATACTTCTTGATATTTTTGAAGATTTTTAAATTTAATAACAATGTTTAAATTCAATAATGTTTTTTATTTTTTGAAAATTCAAACAAATCCTGAATGTTTTTATTTTATCTAAAGTGTTTTAATGGAATGTCGGCTATTTGAGACCCACGACGTGCCCATACCCTTACATGGGCCCACTTCAAGGGAAAAACTTTGAAGCTCTTTTAGGGCATTTCCGATGCTGACCCACAAATTGGGCACCGTATCCGTCTGCGGATTGGACGGACCAGTCTGCGGACACATATGCGAGAGCCGACCATCCAAAGCTATCCGCATACATTTCAAATCGTGTTTCAACTAAGTGGACGAATTTCATCAAACACAAACAGAATTCAGCAAAGTTCAGATGTAAAATAGCACAAATCATCCATCATCCATGCATAGAATGCAAAAAAGTTCAGTACAACAATAGTTCAAATTCAACGAGATTAACCGGATGTTCAACAAGTTTTTCATGGATGGATCATGTTGTCCCACACATACTACCCCTTGAGTTTCATTCAACAATGTATGTGCGTGAAGGGTCTCCACTTTGCCTTGTGGTACATCACAGCAGCGCGCACATGCTACACAACGTGTAGAGCAACATTGAGTGAATGAATAAATCAACAAGTTGAGAAAGAAGAAGCAGAACTTACGATCTTCATGGTTGTCGCGTGCAATGGCCACATTGCCTCCAGCCGATCAACCGTGCCATAAAACTGCATGACGAAGTTCTGGATGGTGTGTGATTGATACGTTAACGACTTCACATTGCGTTCATGAATGATGTGCATGTCGTTGGACGTAATGTGCTTTCACGCATGAACTGAACCATGCATGCGCTACCTAAAGAGCCCCTTTTGCTCCTGCCTACGAAGTCTGTAGATAAGGCCAACCATGCATCACACAAGAACTCATTCTCCATGGTCGAGTACTCCACCATCCTTATTATTCTAAAAAAACAACATGAAGTTCGAAGATAAGCTCAATGGGATTTGACGGAACACCTACCGGGCGTGGTGTCCGCCATGGAATCATCGACAAGGGGGAGGATACCTGTTTGCGACGGATCCTGCGTGAATGGCGCCCTAGTGCAAGGCGAACAGGCATGTGGGGTGGTGGCTGCGAACGCCCGGTAATGGTTGGATGGCGGGTAGAGAGGTATATACTTGCCGCCAGAGGAGAAGGGCGCAGATACAAAGTAAGGGAGGGCGGCAGAGTGAAAGAGAATGGGACTGGAGGGGGTTTGAGTTGGCCGGGGTTGTCGGAGTCCTACGTGGACGCGGTCCGGACTCTCATAGAACCCCCTCCCATTTTCTTTCAATTTACGAGAAAAAGCACGTCCGGACCGGTAGACCCATAGATGCAGGACCGTGTTGAATGGCAAAACACATCCAATCCGCGCAATGCAATACACATCCAATCCGCGCAATTGCGGTGGAGCTTTCTAATTGTAAGGATTTCCTATCTCATAAGCTTAGAGCAACTCCAATGGGGCGACCCAAACGGACATAGATTTTGTCCGTTTGGGTCGTACGTCCGCCTAGCGTACATGAGGCGAACATGAGTGGCCGGTGGATGAACCCACCGCAGAAGATGCAAAAACGGACAAGCTTTCCTCTCGCGCCGCCGCGCTCCTCCGCGGCAGTGGTCTGCACGACGCTTTCCTCCTGTGCCGCCGTGTTCCCCCTCCCACCACGGCCCTGCCACCATGGCCGACGACCTCGCCTCTGCCGCGCCCTACCGCTCCTTTGACGAAGACGAGGAGGGCACCGACGACGACGCCTCCAACAACGATTCCCACCCAGCCGTTGACCAGGATGCCCCGCTTCCCGACTGCCCGGCCCCTCCTCCTCCAGCGCCGGCTGCCGCTGCCTTCCCTGAACCAGCATGTCCAGTTCCGCCGCCTCCGCCACATCTGGTGCCCGGCCTTCAAGGACGACAGCGAGCACCCAGCGCCCTACGCCGGTGGCCTCGCCGGTGAGCTCTACGGCGGCCTGCGTCGTTGGCTTCTTCGCGGTGGGTGTGGAGGAAATACGACGCGGTGGTTTGTGGACGAAGTGCGGGTCGCTGATAGGTGGGACCAGGGCGGACACGAGAGGGGAGGAGTGGACGAGGGGAGTGCCCAGTTTTATCCGTCGCGGACTCACGTTGGCCCATTTTTGCGTCCAGTTTGGGTCATGAAGGACACTA